TATTTTCAGACAGACAGGATGCTGTACCATACGCACGGAATAAAATGCTCAATCCTTCCCCCCCCCCCCCCCCAATGGCTGCTTCTGTGCACTTTGCAGCGAGGCGTGGGCATCTGAATGCATGTACACCACCGTTCACAGCCGAGAACGCCATGTGGTTATCATCTGAACTCTGGTATTTGTCATAACGCAGCGGAAAGTGCAAGATGTAAATAGACTGGACTTCTAAGAAACAGAGCCCTTATCCTGGGCAAGCAAGCTTTCCTTATCAGCCTGATGTGGCTGCTGTGGGCATATCCTCACCGGGGTACACAGAAAGCAATTTTTCAATAATCATAATATTTTTAAAATTATTACTATTAGTAATTTTGCATTCATGCCAGAGAGCTGTCAACGAACACCCTGGTAGATAAACTATCAGATAGGAATCGGGGGAGGCCCCAGTTCAAACCCCAGCATGGATATGCAGCTGTCGGAGTGATCTCAGGCCAGGCCCTTTATCCTGGCCTAGTCTACCTCGCAGGGTTGTTGAGAAGACAAAAAGGGTGTGCGGGTGAAAGAATCCCAAGCATACTGTTCTCTGTGCTCCTTGGAAGATAAAAATCAGTTATGGCAGATGGATCAGAGAGACTTAAACTTGAGTTTAAATTTAGTTAGCCCCTTCCAGATCGTTCTAACAGCCCTGATAGATCAGACCAGTGGTCCATCTTGTCTGGCATCCAATACTGTAGTGGCCAACCGGTTGCTTGGAAGGCCAACAAACAGGGCACAGAGGCAAAGGCCTTCTCCAGTGTTGCCTCTTAGCACCGGTATTCAGAGGCTTACTGCCTCTGAATTTGGAAGTTCCTTTTAGTCACCACGGCCTAGAAACCACTGATAAACCTCATGAATCTAACCCACTTTTAAAGACAGCCCTGCTAAAGACCATCCTCGCTTCCACCGGCAATGATTCCAACAATTTAATTACTCCCTGAGTAAAGATGCCTTTCCTTTGACCTGTCCTGAATCTACTGCCCATGAACTTCAATGGGTGTCCTTGGTGTCTAGCTCCAGATGATCAGCCTTGTTGGTCTGAAGCAGTAGAACAAATTTGGAGTCCAGTGGCATCCTTAAGACCAACAAATGTTTGTTCGAGGTATGAGCTTTCGCGTGCAAGGCACACTTTTTCAAATCCATTGGAATGGTAGGTGAGGTTCTAAACTTGGGTGTTTTTGGCCACTGTGTGACAGAGTGTTGGACTGGATGGGCCACTGGCCTGATCCAACACTGGCTTCTCTTATGTTGTTAAACTTATAGACAGTGACTTAACAGCAAATTAACATGTAACATGAGGAGGTTCAAGTTACGCAAAGTGAAAAACTAAGTCACAAGCTGACTTTATAGCCTTAACTTGTCATTCAGTTTTTCACTTTGCATAACCTGAACATCATCATGTTACCTGCAGTGTTCCCTCTAAGCTGAGTTAGTGTGAGCTAGCTCACAGTGTTTAAGCCTCTGGCTCACACCTTTTTCTCTTGGCTCTGGAAGGATGGCTCCAGAGCAAAGTAATTTATGCAGCTGCCAAACTGCTTGCTCACAACTTTACGGCCAGTAGCTCACAAAGTAGAATTTTTGCTTAGAGGGAGCGTTGGTTACATGTTAATTTGCTGTTAAGGCCCCGTCCATAAGTTTAGAACCTCACCTACCATTCCAACATGTTTGAAAAAGTGTGCCTTGCACATGAAAGCTCATACCTTGAACAAACCTTTGTTGGTCTTAAAGGTGCCACTGGACTCCAAATTTGTTCTCCTGGGGGTCTGGTGTTATGGGCGGGGGGAGGCTTTCCAATCCATCATAACTCAGCTCAGAAATGTACTGACCGCACTGTTACCCTGCCTTTCCTCAAAGGACTTCACAGCCACAAACACGGTTTCCCCCTTCTCCATTTCATCCTCACAATAACCCTGTTGAGTTCAGCTCGGCTGAGAGAATGCCAGTGAATTGTTCCTGACAAGTTAAGGGGTGGGTGGGATTCAAACCTAGGACTCGTCCTTCACCCTGACCACCACGCTGGATCTCCGGCACTTAATCTGTTTCCAGTAGACAACTGCTCTGTGTGTGCGCTTTGTTCAGCTTCTGTGACCTCCAAATCAACTCACACTTTTGGAAGAGCACATCCCTTCGGTACAAAGGTTTCCGACTCTTCCAAAATGCGATTGGCTCTGAAGTAGGAAGTTAGCAACTGTGCTCTACTGGCGAGACAGCCTAATTTATCTGTACACAAATACCCGGGTGATAATTAACTTGGCCCGCCCTTTTAAAAAACAAGAGGGGGGAGCGAGAGAGAGATGCACTGCATTTCAAATGTTGCAGCACACACACACACACACACACACACACACACAGCTCAAAAAGAGAGACCTGCTCTTTGCATGCTCAAGACGGGGAGGCAAACACAGACTTCCCTAAACAAATCACCAAGCAGGATTTTGACAGTAGTCAGATCCTGTTCATACAATGTGGCTTTCTGCCAAAGAAGCAGCCAGGAGCTTTTGCTGGGCATGATCTCGGGGGAACATGAGAAGCAGGTAGCCAGGAGGAAAGCAGACAACACGCCCTGGGATCACTACAGCAGAGGTGTTGAATTCATTTGTTACAAGGGCCGGATCTGACATAAATGTCACTTTGTCGGGGCCCAGGCCATATGTGCCATAAAACGTAATGCCAGGTACCGGAGAGATAAGCTGTATAAAGGACAGCAGCTGGCAAGCCTCAGGTTGTTGAAAGGACAGCAGCTGGCAAGCTTCAAGTTGTTGTTATCTTCATTGTAAGGCCTCATGGACTGGAAGGGGGTGGTGCAAAGGAAAACCCACATGGGAACGTCACCTGAACGTTAAAGCACAGGTTCTGAACATGCTACACCTATTTATGTATTTCTCCAAAGACCTCAGGGCAGTGTCCGTAGTTTCCCACTTCCCCCATTTTACCCTCACAACAGCCCTGTGAGGTAGGCAAGTCTGTGCGGGAATGACTGATCCAAGGTCACCCAGGAAGCTCCCACAGCTGAGTGAGGATTTGAACCTGGGTCTCCCAAGTCCTAGTTTGACACTCTAGCCACTACACCACACTGGCAAAGTAAGTTTTGTGGAGGTCAGTGGGGCATACCTCCAGGGGGGCTGGGGGGTACATAGTCTGTGCGAAAATACACCCACATGTGGCATTTCCCAAGGAATATGATACTATTTATAAACTTTCTATCTCTTGATCATAGCTGATCTTCTTTGCTGATTTTAAAAGATGATTCTAGGGGAGTTTTTAACAGCGGGAGACTTACACCTGGGTCACACATGCTGGATAAGGCACTTTCAATGCACTTCAGCAATTGTTTGCAAGTAGACTTTTCATGTTTTTAACAGGAAAATCCAGCTGCAAAGAATTGCTAAAGCACACTGAAAGCACATTATCCAATGCGTCTGAAATTAGCCCTTCCTAGAGAGCCAGTGTGGTGTTGTCGTTAAAGTGTCAGTCTAGGACTCCCCCCACTCTGCCATGGAAGCCTGCTGGGTGACTTCGGGTCAGTCACGCACTCCCAGCCTAACCTACCTCCCAGGGTTGTCGTGAGGATAAAACAGAGGACAGGAGAACAACGTAAGCTGCGTTGGAGAAAGGGAGGCTAGAAATAAAGTAAACAAAACTGTTAGTCTGTTAGCACCTTAAATGCTTAACAAGTCTTATTCTAAGAGAATGACATCTTTGAAGCCACAAGCCTCCGATTCATTTCTTCTAGCCATTTCACGGCCACTCGATACATTACAGAGCAGCCAACTCAGAGGGGGTCTACACCAGAGTTCCCTCTAAGCTGAGTTAGTGTGAGCTAGCTCACGGTTTTTTAGCCTCCGGCTCACACATTTTTGTCCTAGCTCAGGGAGGATGGCTCCAGAGCATTTATGCACTTGCCCACAACTTCAATGCCAGTCACAACCTAGAATTTTTTTTCTCACACGACTCCACGGCTTAGAGGGAGCACTGGTGTACAGTTTGCAGGGAGCAGAAGTCAACCTAAAGAGCCTGCCTCTCCTAATCACCCATTACTTTTCCGGGGTAGGGGTGGGTGGGACTAACCTGGGAAGACGCCTAACAAACACTCCCCTAACGACAAGCCTGCAGTCCTCTGCAGGGAATTCCAGGTGTCAGCCAAAGGAGCCGAGACAGGAGTCCAGTGGCACCTTCAAGCCCACACTCCCCGTCTCCTCTCGGGCAGGGTACCTCCAACGTGAGCCCACTTGATGTGCAAAGGTCTACACTGGAGTAACTCTTGCACGGGATTGCACATGCCGCCCCCCCCCGTATCTGCGTGTGGCCAGGGCTGAAAAACCCCAACTTGCCTAGAAGGAAGGGAACCACCACAGCACCGGGCTCCCTCCTGTTCTACAGCAGCTGCGGGGCTGCAAACACGGAAAATGGGGGGGGGGGGAGATAAACACACGC